GTGCCCATCCATCCACTGCACCACAGCACACGATGTGAGCTGCAAGAATAAAAGAAAGCACACATTACAAATTAATTCTTACATACAGTAACAGCATGGTGCCCAATGGAAACTATTTACAACATTTTTACACCGGGGAAACAGTCGATGTCCAGTCTTTGCACTGCGCTCATTTTAACTTTCTATCTTGGTGTTGAAGGGTTTAAGACCTTTTTAAGGCCATGGTGAATGCAATTTAAGAATATAATTAAAAGAAAAGAACTGTGCAGTAAAACAACAATGATTCAGTTACCGTCTTTGTCATCATACACTTTTTCGGCCATAGCCACTGTCCACGACCTCCGCAGCAGCAAACAGCAGACAGACACAGTCCGAGAGCAGCTGCTGAACATGGGAGTATTAAGAAGCTAAAGACACAGATTTCCCTCAGGAGCCCCCTGCTGGAGGGCCCAGGCTGCTCCTCCGGGACATTGAAGTCCTTGTCCCACCTGTAACAATGATAGACCCTTTGCTGAAGGGAGAGTCTGGCCAGCAGAATACAGAATACACAAGCAGAATCTTCAATTTGTCATGCAGATTTATTTTACAGGTTAACAAAATGTTGATTTACAACTACAAACATTGGAATTATTTGTTAAGGTCACTTTGAACGAACACACACACGGGGTTGAGTAATGTGCATGACTTACCGTTTCTTGCTGGTTTCTGCAAGGTACAGTTCTGGCCCGAGGTGGATTCCGGCATCCCTATGAAAACACAAAAAGGAAAAATAAGGACATGTCAAGCGGCTCCTCCTTTTACTATGAAATGTTTGAGGCAGTCTAAGGACTTCAGAACAAAAGAGATTTATCAATCATCCACTTAAACCTCATTTAGCATTTAGTGTAATAAAAACAAGACTTTATTAATAAATGTACATGTGAAGAATTTGTAGCAGAGATTCAATAAACCACCACATTAACGCTGAGGCAACACAAAGACACTGGAAGAGGAAAAGCTTCTGTCAACATCTGTGTCACATACAAAGCAAAAAACTGTAAAACTTGATGCTCAAAATTCCTGCCAGTGTGTGACACTGAGGTTACAAGTAGAATTTAAATTCAGGTGTGAAAATAGGATGTGAATACTTGTAACCTCCATACACTTGCAGATTTATGAAGGCAAGAGCAGACTGCAGGACACATGGGTGTTCCTTGGCAGGCTATAGCAGCATGAAGATGGGATGACGACATCACAAGGCGGACTCAGAAAATAAGGTTTATTGCCAGGTAGGTTTTCACTTACAA